GAGAGGAGGGCACTTAGCAGCTGGGGGTGAGGAGGAGTCAGGAAGGGCTGCAGGATCTGTAGTTGGTGATGCTTGTATAGCTTGAAGAAAATAAGGATTCCCAGTAGGGATTCCTAGGTGAAGTGGAGAGGATGGCTTGTTCCTTTTGTCTCTAGAGCGTTTTGATCCGAACTTTTTCAAAAAAGAAGGGAAAAAGAGGAATAATGATAAGTCTTAATTGATTTAATTAGTTGTTTGTAGCTAATGTTGATTCCTCTGAGCTGGACCTTAGGTGCCAGGCAGTATAATTTCTGTTCTCCTTCCACCCCGCCTATTTACATAACTGTGTTTAAAATGCAAATACCAGGGCAGCTAGGTGGCACAGTGGATTGATAGAGCATTGGCCCTGGAGTCAGGAGGACCTGAGTTCAAATCCAGTCTCAGACCAGATACTTGACAATTACTAGCTGTGTGACCCTGGGCAAGTCACTTAACCCCAATTGCCTCACCTAAATAGATAGATAGATAGATAAACTAACTAACTAACTAACTGCAAATACTGAGGGGTCCCTTATTTCCTAGACCAGATTTCAATTCTGGCTTTTAAGGCTTCCTTGCTGTGTGGCCTTGGACAAGTCACTTAACCCTGTTTGCCTCAGTTTCCTCATCCGTAAAATGAACTGGAGAAGTAAGTGGCAAACTACTCCAGTATCTTTGCCAAGAAAACACCAAATAGGGTCGAGAAGATTTGGACATGACTAAAAACAACAGAGCGTAAAAGAGGCTCATGCAATCTTGAGTTTCCTGGTCAGATAAAGGCCTCCTTGCCTCTCATTCTCAGTTTTCTGTGAAATAAATGGGTTGGACCAGAGAAGGAGTTCTTAACTTTTTTGTGGGTCAGGGATCCCTTTGGCAGGCCGAGGAAGCCAGCGGACTCCTCAGAATAGTGTTCTAAAGTGATTGAAGGAAATGTTAAATTTCATTTAGAGAAAACTGAAAATAAAGATACAGGTTTTTTTCTCATCAAGGTTTGTGGACCCCAAATTAAGAACACTAAGACCTTTCGAGTTTAAAATCTCAATTCTATGTTTCATATTACATGTTGTTGTTCATATCTAGAAATCCATTTGCAAATAGCCCAGCTTCCATATATGGAGTTTGTGTGTACACGTTTTATCCAATAAAATGCAGCCTTTGAGATTAGGTTATTACTTCAACCTAAATTAATTCATCTATGTCATTTTTTCAGTGGAAAATATTATTGTGCATTTTCTTTGATAACATGAAGCTCTGTATCTATGACACTGTTATTTATTTGCGGCTTATTAGGTCCAGCTAGATGGCATTATGGGTAGAGTGCTAGGACTGGAGTCAGGAAGGTTAATCTTCCTGAGTTCAGATCTGGTCTCAGATACTTACAGCTTCTGTATGACCTTGGGCAAGTCACTGAACCCTATTTGCCTCAGTTTCCTCATCTGTAAAAATGAACTGCAGAAGGAAATGCCAAACTACTCCAGTATCTTTGCTAAGAAAATTCAAATGGGGTTACGAAGAGTGAGAAATGACTAAGCAACAAGGAGAGGTGAAAAAAGGGATATTAGAAGCTATCTCATCCAGTCCACTCATTCTCCAGTCAAAGAAAAAGAGCCCCAAGGAGATTGTGGTTTATCCAAGATCCCATAGCTAGTTAACTATGGAGCTCAGATTCTAAACCAGTAATTCTGTCTCCAAATCCAACATGTTTTCTCCACTGTGTCACTCCTCCTTTTTTTTTTGCTTTTTAGTTCATTTTCAACCCAACATAACTAGTGTTGACTTTCATTCTCCAGATTTACTCATATGTTGATCATCTAACAGACCAGCATTAGAAGTTTTGGCAGCCAACTATTGGAGTGAAGACTGAGCCCTAGCCCTAATTCTGACTTCCTGGCCCAGCTCTGACACTAGCTTTGTGATTCACATCAAGTCTCTGAGCCTCAAGTTTCCTCGTATAATTAAAGATACTTAAACTGCTCATCTTATGGTATTGTTATGGGGAATTTGTTTTGTAAAGCCCCACACAAATGCAGATTATTATTATATAATAATATATATGTCTTTATGTCTGACAATGTTTTCTTGCAATAGCTTGCTGCTCAAGCTTGTGTGGAAAGTACTTTATAAACTTTAGGGTACTTTTACTGTTATTATGACCATATCCATTCTGCCCTTCCTGATGCCATGTTAGTTCTTGACTCCTATATTAATAAACTTGATGATTTCTTTCTTAGTGCTTTGAGACATCGCCATTGCCATTACATGGGTTTGGTTTTCTGCAAGCTCAGCACTTAAAGTAGGGTCTGCTGCCACCACGTATGTGGACAGTGGGCCTTCATCCCTAGCCCATCTTCCCTATTGGTAGGATAACTTGCCGAGGCAGCTTGTTGTCCTTGAAATACAATTGGCCTGAGAGTCAGGAGTCAGGATTTGTAGTCCTAAGTCTGCCCTGACTACCTTTGGACCCTTAATAAGCAAATTACCGTACCTTTCTGAGTCACCTGTAAAATGGAGATGTTTGACTGTATGGTCCCTATGCATTTTCCAATTCAAAAATACTAAGACAGATTCTGAGAATCCATTTTCTGTTCAGATATTCTCGTTTAAAAATTTTTTTAAATATATGAACTCATAAAGTAGCTAAGTGTAGTAGAATTCAACAATATTGTCTGTAGAACAGTGATTCAAAGATAATAGTGTTTTAAGGAAGAAATGTTAGAACACTTTGATCCAGTTAAAGGGACTCCAGTGTCTTAAAGGATCAGTCAGCCCTCTATCTAACCCTGGTTTTATCCAGGCTGTAGTAGAATGCTGCTTTATTTTCACCCAGAATATTTTAACTTAGAGTTAAAAGTTCTTTCCAGGGTGTGTCCAGAGTTCCTTTGCTCTTAGGTTTCAAGGCTGCAAGATGACAAAGCCCTTCCAGGCAGCTTGTCTTATCTGCCAACAGCTTCCCTCCATCAGGACCACAAGTGGTCTATTTATCTTCTTTGCCCATTAAAACTAATTAAAGAGACAGCTTTTCAGTCTCCTGTGTTTGGACTTCTCTATTCACTGAATGAAATCATCACTGCTCATTTATGTAGCTTGTTTTTGTTTTTTAATTTTACTTACACTATTTCATTTGTCCCACATTACAACCCTATGAGATACAGAGTGATAGGGATTTCATTGGTACAGGCAGGCTCCCTCTACCAGTGGTCACCTCTTGGTTATGTATAATCACATGACTGAAAGGTCATAGATCACAGGATCATAGATTTTAAACTAGAAAGAGTCACAAGCTTTCCAAGCAAACTCGTTCATTTTACAGATGAAGACACTGAGGCCAAGGGAATTTAAGTGACTTACCCAGGGTCACACAGCCAGTATGTGTCAGAAGAGGTGAGACTGGAACCCATATTTTCCTGACTCCATGTCTAACCTCTATCTAATATGCCAGGGGTAGGGAACCTGCGGCCTTGAGGCCACATGTGGCCCTCTAGGTCCTCAAGTGTGGCCCTTTGACTGAAAGTTTGGATTCTATCAAAGGGCCACACTTGAGGACCTAGAGTGCCACAGGTTTCCTACCCCTGTACTATGCCATGCTGCACATAATACTAGGTTTAGTAATTAAACTGTGGCCTAGAGATTTTAAGCAGTTTGCCACGAAGTCTTTCTGGTAATAAACAACAGAACCAATATAAGTACTCTCTATTCTACCACAAGACGGCCTCTGAAACAAAGACATTTATGAAACTTAGGATGGTTCTATATTTGCCAGAATGAAATCTTTTCTCTCCGTTTTCAATTGATACAACGCTTTTGCTCATCAGACGCCTCAAAAGAAAAGAGTTCCATCCCCCCCAGCAGTCATCTGACACACATCCCTGATGGTGAAATGGAAAGATTTAGAATTAGAAGACCTTGGTTGGAAGCCTACCTCCGTGCCTCAGTTTCCTCATGTGTGAAATGAGAGCCTTAGACTAGTTGACCTGAGGCCCATCCAGCTCCCGTCAGTGTGTCTCGCTAGTAACGTGTGCCTCTGATCCCTTGAATCACCAGCCTGGCTTATAACCTATTCCTGGACACAGATTGCTCTCTGAAAGAGCTTATCATTATTTCACATCCATGTTTATGCCAGAACGTAACAACATTTAAAAAGAATTTAACAAGGTTTTAAAACAGAAATTTAAAGTTCCTCCACTGCTTATTTGTGTCCCATTTCAAGGAATAACTGAAGCTGTTCTGGAAACTGGGGTGGATGTCAGGAGCCACAGGCTTATTTCTTAGATGAATTGTTAAGGTCAGTGGTCATAAGTAGAACAGAAAGGGCACCCAAGCATCCTACCCCGAGGAGAGGCCCAAGAGACAAGTGGTTGTGGTGGTGGTTGTTTGTGGTTGTCATTTTCATCGTTGTTTATAAACTAATTTCCCCTCTCACTAGTACTTCCCGACACCAATCCTGTCATAGGTTCCAACTCTCCTAAAGGAATCTTTTCATAGAATTGTCAGAACCAAGCAAAAAACTCCATCCACATGGACCCATCATTGCTCTGATCTCAATTTAACTGGCTCTGAAAAAATTTCTGTGAATTAAGATGAGCTTTATCCCAGTGAGAAATATCGGGCATCAGTGTTCAGAGGCTCTGTACACTTGTTTACTTCTGCCTGTGCTAACTGAAGGACTCCAGGTCCACAAATAGCTGCATTTTCAGTCCCCATTAATGGAGCTTGTGCAGCAGGTTTTGACTAAAGGACAATCCCAGACAGTCACACTTGGATGGAGATACATGGTCTAGTGGCAGGTTTCCTGGTGTGAGACTCTGGAGATCTAGCGTCTAATCTGCTACTCACTGTGCAGTGCGTTCCAAGGCCTTAGTGTCCAGTTCCAAAAGTCTTAGCTGTTAAACCCTAGATAGCTTAAAACTGGGCTAAGACTTTTGGAATACCCTGCTTATGTGACCTTGGGCAAGTCACCTCTCTGGGCCTGCTTTCTTTTAAAGGACCGGGTGTGGTGGTGCACACCTATAATCTCTGCTACCTTGGGAGGCTACAGTGAGCTATGCCTGTTGGTTTTCTGAACTCAGTTCAGTATTGTGATGGTAAGCCAGGAGGAGCAGGAGGCCAGCAGGTTACCATGGGAGGAGCGAACCAGCCCAGGGTGGAAATGGAGCAGGTCAGAGTTGCCATGCCAATGAGTAGTGAGATTCGGCTGGTGAGTAATCATTGCACTTCCAGCCTGGGGGAGATAGAGAGAGCAGGTCTTTAAAAAAATATAATGAAATTAAATGATAGAGCTGAGCCAGATGTTCACATCAGAAATAATTTTTTTTAAATGGAATGGACCTTTGCATTTTCTAAGGTGGTCCATTCAAGCTCTGAAACTCGGTGGTGCTAAGTTTGCCTAACCCACAGGGTGAAATCTCAGGCAGAGTGCTAGAATGGGAAAGCCTTCTTTGGCTACATTATAAGGGGCTGTTATTGGCCTTGGATTGTTATACCAAAGTTGTCGTAAGAGTTTATAATATGAAAGGGTCATAGATTTAACTAGAAGGGGTGTAGTACAGAGGATAGAACGCTGGGCCTAGGGTCAGGAAGACCTGAGTTCAAATCCAACCTCAGACACTTGTTAGCTATATAATTCTGGGCAGGTCACTTAACCCTGTTTGCCTCAGTTTCTTTATCTGTAAAATGAGCTGAAGAAGGAAATGGCAAACTATTCCAGTATTTTTGCCAAGAAAACCCCAAAAGGGGCATGAAGAGTAGGAAATGATTGAACAACAATCCTAATTTTTGCAAATTAGAAAACCTAATTCCAGAAAAGTGCATTAATTTGTCCAGGACCACACAAGATAGTAAAAAAAATAGCAGAACAGGGCCTCAAACCCAGGTCCTCTGACTTCTAAATCCCACATGATTTCCTTTGTACCAAATAAACTTTAATTTTTTTAGATAGGTGTCTTTTTAATTATGGGCTTTAGCCTCTGAAGAGGGAAAATTTCTTTTTTTCAGTTTACTGTATTTTCAGCTCTAGACATTTTGAAGTAGCTGAGATGCAATTTATCTAACCTTTTTAACCTCATTTTCCCTGTTTTCAAAATGAGGTTCTTGCTTAAGAACCCTTATCAAAGCAATGACCAACATCTCTCCAGAGAATGCAGAATATTAATCACAGAAGTGTTGGGCTCATGTTGCAGTAGAAGACAAACATTTTTGGACATAGCCACATGTGGATTTGTTTTGCATGACTATGCTGATTTTTAACAATTTGTTATATATATTTGTTGGTCCTGTTTTTAATTGGGGGAGGGGAGTTTCAGAGCAGTAGTAAGAGGGTTGGCAGTAAAGATTGACGCCCTCCCCCCCCCCAAAAAAAGGAGAGACATTGAAATATTTTAAAAAGTGCATAGCAGACTCCAGAAGGAAATTCAGAAAGAAGCACAAATAAGCAGAACTATTTTGAAAGTAATGGATTGAATTTATCAGGCATTTTTCAGAAGCAAGGAGGATGGAATGGAGATTTTGTGCTATACTTAGTGTATGGAATTGCTTGGGATTTTTTTTTATGTTAAGAATAAAAAAATGATAATAAAGTGAGATGCTTGGTCTGTCTTGTTTCCAAAGCCTCTCCCAGCTCTGTGGTTTAGGGACAGCATAGTTTTCTGACAAAACACAGTGTCAGGAGGTCCAGGTTCTGGTGTTCGCTGCCTGGGAAGAAAATCACCCAACTTCTTTGACCTTCTATGTCCTCATCCATAAATGAGTGAGTTAACCTTGAAGATTTCTGAAGTCTTAGCTTTATGATTCTTTGATCCTCAGACAGTCTGTGTGCTGGTAGACAGAAGTTCTCACTAAATGACTTCCTAATAATTGACCTTTTTCACTTTCTCCACTGGTATCCTTTGTGGCATAATCACTTCTAGTGTTTTTGTTCGGGACTGCCATGTCTGAGTAGGTCATAATTCTAGAAGGTTGGAAAAGCCAGTTTTCAACTACCTCAGGGTATTTACCCAAAACTGAGGGGGTGAACAGAACTGTTCCATTCTGTTTACCCATTTACCTTTGGGCAGCTACCCGAAACTATTCTGAGGAGGTGAGTAACCCCCATTAGTTAACTGGCTGCCCTTAGAACCTTGACCTGGTGGTCTGGCATCTTGAGGGAATCACATTGTGAGCACAATACAAAAAAAAAAAGTGTCACAGGTCAAGGGAATTAGAGTGGGGAGGTCATAGTCATAAGGAAATAGACTGTAAGTTCCTGGATTGTAACTCTTGGGCTGGGGATGATGTCTTATTTAATTTAATGTTTCCCTCCAGGTCCCACACAGTGCACATAGTAGGCATTCAGTAAATGGTTTGTGGAATTGAGTCAAAGGGACTGGAGAAAGAACGCAGATGACTTGTAAAGTTTGTGCTCGCAGTGTGCCAGTGTGCATTTAAGATTAATTACAATTGCATTTGCTCGTGGTACAGCATTGTGACTTTTTGTACCCTGGGTTTAAAATGGCTCTTCTCCAGAACACATACCCTGCCTGCCTTGCTGAGATTTAGTATGACACTTTGAGGCACCCTCTTCTGATGGGTGAAAGAGCACAGTATTTAGATCCAGAGACTCCTAGATTAAAATTCTGCCTTTGATTCTTAACCCTTGGTAAACCTCTGAAATATTTGGCTTCTCTTAGCCTCAGTTTTCTCATCATAAAAATGGGAGGGTGACGATAATACCTGCCATGCAGGTTTGCTTTGAGGCTTATAGGAGGAGTACTCTACAAATGCGAGCATTTCTTATATACTTAAATATGTCTCCTGAAAAATTCCCCTTTATAAATTTCAAAATGATAGTGATGCCTTTCTGTAATGGAACTATTTTTCAGAGCGTCCATTTTATGTGAAGCAGTGTAGTGGAAAGAATACTGCATTTAGAGTCAGGATTTAAGTTCAAATCTTGATTCTGTTACTGTGTGACCTTGGGCAAATTTAAACCTTTCTGGGCCTCAGTTTACTCAACTGTAAAATGAAAGGTTTGGATTCATTGTCTTCCCAGGTCCATTCTGTTTCAAAGTGCCCAGTAATCCAGAGTTACCCACTTTGCCACATGGGCACACATCCTTAATAAAATACATCCCAAATAATGTGCAAACAATTCAGTTTATAAACTTAATTTCTGAACAGCTCTCCTCCATCAATGTGTCATCATCAATGTAGGTCCCACTTCTGTAGTTCTTGGAGGTTTACAAAATGCTTTCTTGAAAAATTCTGAGAGGCAGGAATTACAAGTATTATCATACCCATTTTGCAGATATGTAAACCTAGACAGGTTGAATGATTTGCGCAAGGATGCACCTCCCCTCCCCACCCCACCACTTGTGTTTAGTTAATTTTGCTGAAATTTTTCCCCTCTTTTTTAGTCTTTGTTATAAGGGATGGCTCTCTGGCATGATAATAAGATCATCAATTTAGAGCCAGAAGGGAAAGGAAGGAGGTGAGTTATATTGGGAAATGTAGGTGATGGGTAAAAAAAAAACAAAACTAAACAAAAACAAAAGCTATCACAAAAAATTAAAAACAAACAAACAGAATTCCTGCTATACCATAGAAATTGGTCATTGGAATTTCTATTAGAGATCCTCTGAGGACAAGCAACAAGCCTTTATTATAAAGCACCTGATATGTTTCAGGCACTGTGCTAATGGCTGGGGATGGAAAGAGGCAAAATGTAATCTCTGCAGTCTGAAAGTTCACATTGGAATGAGGGACACAACATTAGAAATAGCTATGTACAAATGAGCTTTACAGATGAGGAAACTGAGTCACAGAAGTTAAATGTCTTATGATATGATTACGGTTATGATACTTTGCATCCTAATGAACTTTAGTGGAGGGAGCGGAAATGTCTCTGGATTTTTTCATAATACCAGAATTTTATTATACTGTATACAGCTTTTTTTAATCCCCCTCTTTAGAGGCAGCTGCGTGGTGCAGTGCACCAGTCTTGGAGTCAGGAGGACCCGAGTTCAAATCTGGCCTCAGACACTTACTAGCTGTATGACCCTGGGCAAGTCATTTAACCCTCTTTGCCTCTTCCTCATCTAGAAAATGAGCTTCAGAACAAAATGGCAAACTGCTCTAGTATCTTCGCCAAGAAAACCGCAAAGGGGGACATGAAGAGTTGGACATGATTTAATAACAATAATCTCTTTAGATAGTCTCCAAGGTTTGTAAACATGGATGAGGTTTTAGCGGTGATGGGGTTTGATATTTATTTGGTTGTCTGCTTCTTGTATAGTTATTTTTGCATGAAAAGAAAAACCAGATAATTTGTGGGTACTCATGGAAACCTACCAAGGCATCAGGAGCCAGCACCTTGCTCAGTGCCAGCCACATAGTAGGCCCACCCTCAATTAATGCTTATTGAAATCAATCTTTGTAAGCATTGCCAGGGCAATAGAAAGTTCCATTCCTACCTCCCAGCTTCCTGGAACAGACCCATCCACCGCTTTCGTTCCTCCCAACTCTCCCTTCTCCCCTCCCCACCCCCAGTCTGAAGGGGACAATGGCTTAGGTTAAAGGAGGCTTTGGAAGTTTCCCCAGTAAAGAATTGGGAGTAGGAGGAAGAAACAACGAAAACAGAGTGTGTGCTTGAGATAGGTGGGTAGAAGATTGCCATCAATACAAAATTATTTTGTGACAGTGATGTGAGTCCAGTGGCCAGAGCAGGCCCCCCTCCCTATAATTTCTGTGTGTATTCTGATCTCCTTGTCTCAGATGAGCAACCAGAGGTTCAGATATCCTTTCAGAAATGTTAATACATTCCAGCCCCAAGGGCTCACCCATCACCCCCTTCTTCTTAATTTGTGGCCATGCTCACACCCTTGGCATGGTCCCATGGCTCTTGGCTACTGGATACTATCATCTGAGACAGCTAGAGTAAGTTTGCAGACAGTGACGAATGCTTGATATTTCTGAAGGACGGTCGTCCATCTCTTCTCTTGAGGACACCAGCTGACTTACATAGGAGGGCAAGAGCAGGATCAGGGAGAATTCTTTCCTAACATTCGAGCTGGCTGTTTATTTATTTATTTATTTATTTGTAAAGGCACCCACTGGACATTTGGAGCATGCGATTGTTAACCCTCGGCCAAGTTTGCATAGTGGCAGTGGAGGAGATAATAGCTGGAATTACACAGCCACAGCAGAAATAGCAGCGAATCCCACAGTGACCATGCGCTGCGTAAAGCGCTATTCCTTTCACATTCTAAATTTATCGTTCTTCAGCTTTCATGAATATACCTTTGTTATGCCATGCGACTGGGTGAGAAGGAGCATCTGACGGGTGTTTTCAGAATAGCCTTCAGAAATAACTTGAGTTCCAGCTTACTTTCTTTCCTTGGGTACTGAACAGTCTCCCCGTCTGCACCACCCTTGTCATCTGCCTTCTCTGTCACAGAATCTAAAATGAGGCCACTCAAGAGGATGACATCTTGAACAGTGTCTGCAAATGTGCAAATGATCATGATGGGAAAAGAACCGGGGCAGTGTGTGTCTGCACTTACTTTAAACAAATGTCACAGTCGATGGAAACTGAACCAAACAGTACTGTAATTTCCAACCACATGCCTGAACTTGAATGCTTGGCCATCCTCACTCAGAGAAACCCAGGGCATGAATCCAGCCACGATGAGTGAAAAAGAAGAATGTAGAGGGAGGGAAAAAGAGAAAAGAATATTCCCAGCTTGGGTCACCCCTGAGGACACTGATGATAGAAGGTATCTGTTTTGCAGACTACCTAGATCAGTTGCTAGGATGGGTCAGGAAACTAAGGACATGTTTTTGGATTTCAAAGCAAAACTTTTATGTTGGGAAGTAGTCGGAAAGTAGCAACCTGTCTTCCAGGCCACAAATTGAGTTCTTCTGTTGTGAACAAGGACAACATCCATGCTGAATGGTGGCAGGACCCGACAGCAGCAGAGGTGGGCCAAAAGTTGTTCGCTAGGGTTACTACAGGAAGACTCCCAACTCAAGAGCTTGATATGGTAATGATAGCTTTCTTACTTAGTTTGAGAACAACAATGGTACAAGGTTCCCCTTTGCCATAGTATCTGCAGCAGTGGCAAATATTGCAAATTCCATTTTGGAGTGAAATGCCTCACGGAGCTGCTTCATCCTCCTGAAGGCCAACAGATTACTGCCATCACCCAGAACTGCCAATTTCTGTCATGCTATAAAACTCTCAAAATTAGTCTTGTGGTAAAGAGCATGGCAGCAACATTACTATTTTTCCATGGCATTCTTGTAGCATTCACATATTTTTTTGCTCAGTACTTTCAACATTTTATGTAGGCTAATATGTCATCACCTCCCAAGATAATTCTGAGTTTTGGCCCAAAAGGAATATTTTTAAACTAAAAGGAGCCCTGTTTCAGATACCCTACATATGGTCCTAATCTTGTGAAGGGTAATCTCTTCCCTCTTCTCCTAACTCCTTATGCCTAGCAACTAACAGGCTGAAATATTTTTTAATAGGTCCTGCGGTTATCATTGGTGTTCGAAACTGGAAAGTGGCAACTCGGAGGGTGGGGGTGGGGGTCTCATGGATCCCAAAACAAAATAGGTGAGAGGATTTTCTGCAAGAGGGCTCCAGCCATCTCAGAACAGCATTTTCTAAGACGGCCCCTTTCTTGAATAAACTTTGTTGAACCCTAGCCTACTAGTCAGGTGTTTTTTTCATTTTTTAAAAATTTATTTACTTTTATGTAAAACCATAGAATCTCAGAGTCATAGGAACCTTAGGCTTTTTTCCTCTGTTCATTTCCCCATCTCTCCCACCCTCTGCCTAGTTTATTTGTAATAGATTATGTCTGTGTAATAGAAAATGGAAATTTTTTTTAATCTGTTGAAAACTTAGTGTGCTTTGCTCTGTGCATATGCCCTACCTCACTAAGATTGGTCTTTAAAAGACAGTCAGTGACAATTAGTCTTGTTGAATGCTTTAGTTCTAATTAAGTTCCGTGTGGAAACAAGTATTGACTTACAGAACTATTCTTTTACTGCTATTTCTGGAACTTCATTTCTTTTTTCCCCAAGAACTTTTTTTCTAATCATGCCTATATAGTTATTATTTTTTAAATGAAGCCAGTAGATTTTAAAGTAACTCATACATTACTGTTAAAATAACCTCTAAATATTTCATGCCTTTTTAGTTGTTGATTTAAGCTAAGCAGTCTACACCTTTAAATTTCAATACCATACCAGGAATACCTGGATTTTATGTAAATTATTACAAGAAAACCATTGACTAGAAATTAATAAATTGAGGTGAGATGCTTGTTGTAGATGATATCAGACAATAGGTGTATATGAAACATATTTTATATCATAGAAATCATTCGTATCTACGTCATTTACTCCACTCAGCAGATAGTTAACAAAGCTCTTTGAGGGCAGGACCAATTTGTTTTTTGTCATTGTATCCTTAATACCAAGTTCAAAGTAAGTGTTTGGTTTGATTTGACTCTTTGTTCAATAGGAGGAACATTAGAATTGGGAGTGGAAAGATGTGGATTCCGTTCCTGGCTTTCCTATTATCCCACTTCATTTCTCTGGGCCTCAATTTTCTCACCTCTAAACTAAGGTTGGATTAGCATAGAGGAGCCTCATTGTCACCGTGAATTTCAGGGGATAGTACTGTATATTAAGAACCCCTTCAAGGTAACATTCTCTGAAGCACTGCAGTGTTACAGCCACCAGAGGGAATATGGCAGCTACACTCTTGGCGGTTACACCCTTGCCATGGCGAGAAGGCGATCATTTCATTCTTTGTACTTGCATCCCCAATGCTTGGCACACATAGTAGGCCTTTAATAGGTTTTTGTTGATTGATTGCCTTTAGTAAGAATATATTAGCTTGCAATTTATTTCTTGGACAGCCTTTGTAATAAAGGCCTCAATAAAGGAGAACAGAGATATAGAAAAGGTAAAAGAAGTTACAGAGTTCAAGAATATGATCCTTTTCAAAGCATCTCCTCCTCCCTGTTCCTCTTCACTCCCTTGGGCCCTCTTTTTCTTTCTTCTGGATACACCTCTGACAAGTGGTTATATAGCTTGTTTCCTCCCTCCTCTCCACACCCCTCCCCCTTTCCCCTACCTTTCAGTTGGAAGGGAACTCACTACCTGCTAAGGCAGCCCATTCCAGTCCTGACATCTCCAGCTGTTAGGAGTTTCTCCTTATCCTGAACCAAATCCTCCTTCACTGCAGCTTCTTTTTATACATTGTTACTAGTTCTGCCCTTTCTGGCTAAGCAAGACTAGTTTAAAAACCTCTTCTTGATAATGGCCTTTTAGATAGTTCAAGATAGTCACTGCATACATCTTCTTTCTTGATATACCACCCGCTTGTCTTCCTGGTTCAGTATCCCCAGTTCATTCAACTGATTCACTTGTGGAATGTTCTCCAGTTTCCTCATTAACCTGATTGCCGTTCTGGATGTGCTTGAGTTTTTCCTTTCCAAAATATGGTTCCCAGAACTAAATACAGTATTCCAGATGTGGTATGACAAGGGCAGAGTCCAACAAGGCTATCATTTCCCTTATACTGCATAATTTATGCTTCCTTTATGTTCATATTAGTTCTCTCTCTCTCTGTCTCCCCCCCCCCCCAATCTCTCTGCCTCTCCACTGTCACCTTTTTGGTCAGAGATTGGAGAGGTCGGATACTTTGTGTTATGTCATATTTTGCAAATGGATACATTCACATTCATATTTTCCCTTCACCATTATGTCCCATTGTAGACTCTTTGAGCTTTCAATCCACAAAAATCCCCAGATCTTCTCAGAACTATTGTCTTCTTTTTCTCATTCTGCACTTGTGTAATTAATTTCTATAAAGGGCTGTACTTTATACTTACTCTTCCCCATTAAATTTCAACTTCCTGAAGGTAGACCCTTATTCTAGGCTGCTGTAGTCTTTTTACATCCTAACTCTCATGCCCCAAGCCTGTTGAGTCACCTTTTCTTTGTGATTTTCTCCAGGTCATTCTAGTCACCTTTGATGAATGTGGCCAAGAGGAGCATTCAGCTTGTCTCATTAGATGGTGGTCTCTCCTGTGGCTGCCATGTACTCTTTCCCATACAGTGCAGAACTTTCTCTGTAGCAATTTGAGATTTTCCAGAGCAGACTATCTCTCCTCCCACTACCACTCTTTCATTTCTGCCTATCCCAATCCACTCTATGGGGTTGATGTAGTCTGAAGTGTCAACACTGACCCTATTCCAAGGGAGGGAGAAAGGAGCAATGTCACTACATCAAATCTTGTACAATATCTTAATAATGTCATTTTTAAAGTAGTCTTCTCACCGATGTACTCTGTGCTAATTCACCTCTCTCAGGGCTTGCATTTTTTCCAGTGATGTTTCCAGCTTCTTTTTATACATTGTTACTAGTTCTGCCCTTTCTGGCTAAGCAAGACTAGTTTAAAAACCTCTTCTTGATAATGGCCTTTTAGATAGTTCAAGATAGTCACTGCATACATCTTCTTTCTTGATATACCACCCGCTTGTCTTCCTGGTTCAGTATCCCCAGTTCATTCAACTGATTCACTTGTGGAATGTTCTCCAGTTTCCTCATTAACCTGATTGCCGTTCTGGATGTGCTTGAGTTTTTCCTTTCCAAAATATGGTTCCCAGAACTAAATACAGTATTCCAGATGTGGTATGACAAGGGCAGAGTCCAACAAGGCTATCATTTCCCTTATACTGCATAATTTATGCTTCCTTTATGTTCATATTAGTTCTCTCTCTCTCTGTCTCCCCCCCTCCCCCCCCCCAATCTCTCTGCCTCTCCACTGTCACCTTTTTGGTCAGAGATTGGAGAGGTCGGATACTTTGTGTTATGTCATCCAGTACCTAATCATGGGGGAGGGGAAGGAAGAGGGTCAGAAATCCCATTCCCAGAAGTAGTTGGCATTTACTTAGTAGATATCATATGCTTATTTACACGAAGGGGAAAGTAGATAGACAGACATGGAGAGGCCCGGTTCTTTGTGATGTATTCTCCTTTGAAAAAAACATATCATGTCATGAAATTTATTCAGTTTAAATGCTTGATATTTATATCAGTCAGCAGGCATCTTTTATGCACTCCCTTTGTTCCAGGTACTGTGCCTGCTGTCAAGGAGAGGGAGGACTGAGGAGACACATCCAAATACAAGTGCAGAATATAAAAAATAAATACCACAATTTCTAGTGGGCAGCTAGATGGTGTAGTGATAGAGCACTGGTCTTAGAATTAGGCAGACTCATCTTTATGAGCTCAAATCTGAGCTCAGACACTTACCAGCTGAGTGACCCCGACCAAATCATTTCTCTCCATTTGCTCAGTTTCCTCATTTGGAAAATGAGCTGGAGAAGAAAATGGCAAATCAGTATCTTTGCCAAAAAAAAACCAAAACAAAACAAAACCCAAATGAGGTCACAGAGTCAGACACAACTGAAATGAGTGAACAAAATTTCAGGTAAGAGGCACTAGAAGCTGGAGAGATCAGGGGGGAAAAACTCCTTTAGGAGGTGATATCTGAGCAGACCTTTGGAAGAAAACAAGGATTCTAGGAAATGGACTGAATGCTTCCCAGGCATGAGAGAGAAGTGAAGTCAGGTTAAATAGTTCCTTATAACTTCTTGCCTAAGACATAAAACATATATTTAAATGCTTTTGGACTAGTATTTATGATTATCAAGTGACTATTTTGGATTGAATTAATTGTAGTAGTAA